AAAGGATCGTCTCTAGCTAAACGAATGAAACAAACTTTTTTTACTTTGACAAAAGAAAAAGTTTAGCAAATGTCTGATTTTATCTGCGTCATTCGATGATACTGAATAGTTCTTTCAGTTTAGATTTTCTTTGTTTAGTTGTTTGTTTTTGTTTTAATAGGAAAAGAAAAAATAATAGACTTCATATATAAACGCCCGATTAATATATATGTTGTAGGCAAAATTAAAATTCAGCTAATAACTAAAGAAAACTCTAATAGTGATTGGAGTTTTCGAAACAAAACTTATTTTTAGGGTGAGGGTGTATACGTGACGAAGTACACAGATTTATGTATTGTTTGAAAATGACAGTGAAAGTCGAAACATCACATTAAAGTAAGAAGAATTTAGTACTATGAAATTCTATACAGGACCATTAACAATCTTACGTTTGTGTCAAAAACCCTTGCCCAACAAAGAAAACAATTGTAGCTAGTTTTAGAAAGTTGTGAAGATTTCATATAAAGATTGCTTGACAAGGTTTTGGGAGTTTTTGTTATCCTTTGTTTTTACGACGTCCTCTTTTTGAGTGACATCTTATCGAACATTTGATATTAGCAGTTTTACACGGAAAACGTTGCGTTGCACAATAAGATTTACAATCACATGTAGCATCAGTCACAGATTCACGCACGAACAATTTACTAACTTCAATCAAACTTAAATCATCTAATTCAGCAACATTCATAGCTTTCAATTCAGGCGGACAACCAGCTTTCATACAGATCCGGCTTTCAACTCCAAAAGGTGTATTCAACTTTCCATACTGGCAAGCAAGTTTAAAAACGAAATCATCCTTCTTTTTGTCTTTCAAATACATTAAACATGGCAAAATCGTTGGATCAGTATTGATTCTGTCAACATGAGTTTTAATTCCAACATAATCACGCACCCAAAATGTTTTAGCCAAATTTTTCAATGTTCATCATACACTTTTTGTTCCTTATTTGCAGTAGCTAAGTAGTTTTCTGTTGCTGATTTTCGTATTGATTCATGCCGAGGACAGTTCGAAGAAGGCGTTAGCTGATAAGTATCAGAACTTAAACCTGCAGCAGAGCCAGACGAAACAGCAACATCAACACCTACAGACGACATCGAAGAAGTCAATTGAACATCAGGACTCAGAAGAGATAGATCATCGAGAAGATTAATAGCATGATTACATCTTGGATTAGATTCAATCAACGGGAAACATTAACAGGGCTAACTAAACCTTGTGAATACGAAATACAAGATCGTTAAAAAAACAATATTGAAATCAGAGAACGTGAGCGGACGTTTGAGTTTATTTTTATTTCTATACGTATACAGCTGACCTTTTAAGTGTCAGTTTTTCATTTGTTTATGTGACACTTGCTAGTGACACTCACGTTTCCCGTCTCGCCTGTTCTAGAACACATGAGATATAGTACAGTAACACAGTTGGTTGTGTGGAGTAGTGTTTATGCGTGATAAAATAATTCGACAAATCTATTCCATTACATTGGGATACGGGGAAGATCTCAAGATAGTCTCAGCACAATCAAACTGGTAAGTAGGTAATAGTTTCTTGTTCTGCTCCCTTCCCCCCTCTCCCACCATTGCAAACATCTTAGATCATCTAATCCTACGCAAAATGGGTAGCATGCTTAAATATTATTCAAATTCTTATTTTTTTTCTATAACACCTATCTACTTTTTCTATTAGAAGATAAAAGATTTGTGTTTTATTATAATCAAAACTACGTTTTTGTTGGAGGTGATACTTATTACAAATTGATCCTACAGCCTAACGCAGTATCTCATTATCAAGAGTTTTCTGGACATCCGGTTTTTCATAGACTGTCTGGTAACTCTTTAGAGGCCTTTTGCAGGTCTTGTGAACCTCGTGCACTTCTAGATCCTATCCGATCACCAAGATTTTGAGGTAGAACTTGTATTTCAATTCTGTCTGACCAATTTAGTCAGGTAAAGTTAGAATTGTGACTTTACGTAATGGTCTTTCAGACCAACTTTGGATTTAAGGAGGGAAACTCAAAATTTCAATTTTGCCTAGTAAATCTCTAGTCATGCCTAGGAGCCATTGCATGAGAAAAACAACAAGTCATGGTCAATCGATGTCTCCGATTTGCTTCTAAATAGTTCTGTCTTGTTCAGCATGTCTGAAAACCTATGGATCCAAATTTTGAGCCTTCCAGGACTTTTACTTTCTGAGTTCTGGGCGGTTTTCTAGAATGCACTCGATGGAAAATTCAGTGTCTAAAAAATGGAGAGCAAAAGTAAAGGTTTTGTTTCTCCGCCAAGACAAGTGATGGAAGAGGGCTTTTTTCATCCTATGTAGTCCATTGCACGGTCTAGACGATAATGCGATCAGATCGTTTTTAACTCGAACCTTCGGCCCGACACCGAAGGTCTTCTAAGGATCTTAGGGGTTTATATTGTTTGACGCCGTTCTCGAGCGTGTGGCTTAGGTATAAAACGAGATGCACTTTTTCATAGACATTCAAGTGTGGACTATCCGAATCCGG